CAAATATGTCAACCAGGAAATCTGCTGGACAATAAATAAATAAATAAATAAACAAATAAATAAATAAATAAATAAATAAATAAATAAATAAATAAATATAGCCAGTGGACTCATTCAGTTACAGATTGGCCTAAGTGGCCAATGTAAATTAGCCCTTATCCTTTGTGGGCTTTGGTGGAGCTAGAATCATAAGTTGGTAATGAATTAATATCTTCTTTTAGAAAAAAATTGCTTCTGTCTTCCTAAAACTAAACCTCTGGATAATCATACAATTTTGTTATGAAGTTAGCTGTGCAGAACTTTATCCAAATCAAACCAGTCTTTGTAACCCTTTATTTCTAACTTTCCAAAACCCAAGTAGTTCTAAAAAGTGATTAATTGCTTCAAATAAAGATAGTTCTTTGGGTTCAATTGGTGTAGTGTCCTGGAGCAAGAGGGCATGATTAGTATGCAATCTACGTGCCTCCTTCAATTTCCGTTGGTGCTCATCTGGGGTGACTGGTAGAAAGGAGACAAAGAGAAGGATAGGGAAGCAGGGACATTTAAGTCACAACGAAATGTGCATGTATGTTAGAATCCCAGACTGTTTCAGTAAGAATTTCATTTTATATTTTACACGGGGGAGAAAGAAATGACTTTATTTTAAGCATCAGGCTACAAGGTTTGGAGGGTCAGTTGTTCTAACAAAAACTTCAAAGAGTGCACACATTTTAATTAGGTTTTTCAAGATAATTGAGTATGCTTCACTACAAAATATTAGGAAATTCCACCTGTAGGGAAAGCCATTAATTATCCAGATTAAACACCAGAAATAAGCAACTTACGCTTTCCAGGTACGGCTTTCCGCTTAACATTTTGAATCCTAACTGTAAATACTACCATTTTTTAATTTAAAAATTCTAAATAATTTAAAGCATAGAAAGGTGCATCAAGGATAAAAGGTGAATCTTCAACCATTTTTTAATTTCACCCTCAACTGTTTATTTCAACTTTCAAATGTCTATAACTGGTTAATTCCATAGGTTGGACAGGGCCCTTTGACTCTACTATCCATCACAATCTGGATAGTTTGTTGTTTTATAGATATGATAAGACATCACCAGGACTTCCATAGTCATTGACATGTCCTGCCTCAAGCTGCAGTGAGTACCCCACCTCGAGCTCCATGGAGAGGCAGCTAACAAAATTCTCCTTCATTTCCTTCTTCTTCTTCTCCTTCTTCTTCTCGGCCTTCTAGTGGAAGTACCGAAAAGAAATATATGTTCAGAAAAGATATGTACAAGCCTAAACAGGATATGATTGAGTACAGGATATTCACCAAAGCCAGACTTTTCCTGAAAGAGATAGTCCTAACTGCAAAGGGCAGAAATTAATTATTCACACCCCACCTCCAATGAATGCAAATAATGATTTTGCAATAAATGTGAAGGTCCTGATTTGAAAAAAGAGCTTACTTTTTCATGATTGGAAGGTGTATAACTAGTAAAATATGATCCCTTTTTTTCTTCCCAAGCTCTTCTTATCAAAGTATTATGGGCAATGATTACTTTTAATTTCTCCACAGCTGAGAAAATACTAGAGCACTAGAGAATCAAGCAATAGACTTAGCTGAGACTTCAAAGCAGGAATGAACATTTGAACATGTGTAAGGGAAACACTGTGATCTAGACTGAAAGCACACCTTGTTGGTGGTAGTTGGGAGAATACAATGCTGTTATGACAAGATAGTGTTCTATACAGTCTAGCACAGTGGTTCCCAAACTTTTCCAAACCTTTTTTAGCCATGTCCTACCTAATCATCTCTAAAATCATGGTTTCCCTCCCTTCTGGGTGACATATAATTCTTAGTATTCAAAAAGTGAACTCCTATTCATATGAATGAAGTCTTTTTATTTAGCAATTTGATGGCATGTTTGGAATTATTTTGTTGTAGAGACACAGGCAGTGAACCTAGGTCCAAAACTTCAGTTTGTGAGTTTTCTGACATTACAGTGAACATCATTTGTTGATGATGAATGATGTGTCAATGTACATTCTTTCTGTGGTCATTATCTATTCAAAAGGTCTTTTTCCTTAATAAATAAATAAATAATGCAAATATTTTAAGTAACCAGCAAGGTATCAGGTAAAATGTTCAGGAATGGAAAATGTAAGATTTCTATTCTCAAACCTGACGAATACTGGGAATGAAAGTTGTCTCACTTTTCTATGCTCATGCACTCTTTCATTAACTCTATGCTCTCACCATCCTTTCTATTAGTGGGTTTTTCTCCTCTGCATGGTCATCTGCTGACCACTGTGTACATTCTAATTTTAATTTAAAAACTGTTTGTCACAATATGCATTTATGTACTGTATATGAGGCCCTTAGAACCATAAGAAAATTAAAAAAATCACGCCTAATTACTTATTCTCAAATTGCCCCTTAAAAATCAATTTTTCCCCCTGTGGGGCATGTGCTCCATGTTAGGAACCAGGGATCTAGCGATAATGATTATGATTATCATCATAATTACTATTTGTGTAATACTTAAATCAACGTCTTGTTATTTTTAGTGCTGTATCTCTGGAAAAATAGGGCTAGAGTTTGTATCATCACTTTTCCCCTCCTAGAAGAAACATACTTTTGCACAAGCCATTTTTATATGTGCTATGAGAGAGAAAGGACTTGATCTGTTCAGTAACCTAACTCTTCCTACTCTTTCCTATAAGTCAGTGGGAAGTAAGGACTCACATGAGGAAAAACAAACTGAAATTGAATCCAGATAAGATGTTGCTTATTGTTAAGGGTTCTAACTTGGTTTTGTAGGAATGTCTACCAGTCGTTTATGGGGTTAGATTCCTCCTGAAAGACTGTGTTCATAGCTTAGGAGCATTTCTGGATCCATAATTTCAAATGAAAACTCAGATAGATGTGTCAGTCAGGAGTCTTTATCATCTGCTTTGACTATTATGCCAGCCCCTTCCCTTTCTAGAATTGGAGGATCTAAACATGATAGTACATACTGATTGTCTCAATGTGGATTGGTTTATATGTTCTTTGAGCTGGTGTTTAGTTGCTGTTCCCTTTCTTAATCCTCAGAGATATTACTATTACTACTACTACTACTACTACTACTACAAAATCAGAAGAACCTGCATAGTTGTCTTCTCATCTATCATCTTTCCTTTTCTTTTTTTGCTTCATAGTTGTCCAATAACTTGGGGAGCACCAGATATTACTAGGAAGTTTAGTTCCTCTTGAACTTTTGCTGAGACAATTACTCTTCAGAATCAGTCTGATGGAGCAGATCATGCTGACAGTACTAATATACACCACATCATTGATTTCAGATGCAACCTCAGAGAAACCTAATTTTAACAAACGATTTCTAGGGTTGTGAAAAGAAAGTGCTATGCTTAGCAAATATATTTTGTGCCTCCTTATCCTCATCTCACTGCCCCTTCAGTGCACTTCTTTCACTAGATCAATCACAGTCTCATTCAGTATAAGTAGTACAGGTAGAGGACTGTTCCATTAAACTCCAGTTTGGAAAGCCACTCCATAATTGTGTACAAACAACATTCTGGCTTCAATATGAACAGAGCTTTTGTGAATTTTCAGACAAAGATAAAAATACATATTTCCTATCCTCTCCTTTAGGAAATGGTACTTTATATAAGACACTTGTGATGAAAAAGCTAAGTCAATTAATCCATAGATAAACTCCTGAAAAGATGGCAAGAAAACAATGATTGTATTCATTTTGTCGATGTGATCTGTGCCTGCTAATCCATTTCAGTGTGGAATGTAATATGTTCTACTGTATTCTGTTTTATGACCTACACTGCCGACACCAACTTCCCTGTCTTTTGTGTGAATTCCTTGTTTTAATGGAATGGGCATACACATAAATTGAGTTAAATGGTAAATTACAGGCGTAGAATGATAACTTTCTAATCACCACTCTATTAAAGCCACTTGCATTATCCTACAATAACTGATGAAAACATAGTTACGTGAGCAATTGACAGAAGTGGCTGATAGTACTAGATTATGTAGCAATCCACTCTTAACCTTTACAAATTACAATCAATTCAAATCTACACTTCTAGGAATTGTCAGCTTTACAAAGTTTTTCAGTATCTTATTTGAGATTTCATAAGGTCTTAAGGGTTTTAGAGGCATCTTGAAAAATAGTCACTGAATAATCTTTCAGGATAATTTGTTTCATTCCATGTAATGCTGAACATTTTTTTCTCTTTTGGTGAGAGAAAAATAAAGTGCACTGTGAGGTCTCTTCATTTAACTCCCATAAAATTCACTGGATATATGCCACATATGCCCTCTAAATCTGCTACTTAAGCAGAAACAGAAAGGAGTATCTCTAAGAGCTTCAGGGATTAAGAAAGTTAGAATATTATCTCCCCCCCCCTTACTAACGGAGGAGTCATTTAAACCTCAGATTCATGTGAAGTAATAAAACTATTGGATAAATTTGGTGGCTGGGTCTGAGGACCTGCTTATCAACAAGGAGACTCCTACTCCACAATAGAATTAAGAAGAAAGGTTAATCAAGGGGCTCCTTGACTATTCAGATTTGTCAGTTGATAATCCTTCCATCTGGTATACAACAAGAAGTAAGTTTCGAATGCAGCACTGGGGCATGATAATGCTAACATGTTATATCACTTAGCTCCCACTGAATTAGATAGTCTACCAAAGAACACTTATAGTAACATTCGTCCCTATCCACCATTACAGATACTTTTTAGCAGCATGGTAAGTGGTATTTCCCAATGACTTGGGCAGCTTTCTTGCCACCCTTGCAACAGGTCCTGGTGTCCTAGCATTCACCTCTTCCCATGGTTTTCACTTTCTTGACCTCCAGGGTTAACAAACTTGCTCTGCCCCCCATGAGTTTTTTTTTCTTAAAGTAATTTCAGCAATTTTTCCCTACTGCAAGAAAGACTCTGGAAACTGGGCAGTTTTTGAAGACTATTTGCAATTTGGTACTTACCCTGTGCCAAATTTGCACATGGTTATTTTGTGAAGAAGAATTTTTACTCTACAGGGAATAGCATTTTCTGCATGCTATTTTCTATGCACATTGACCATGTGCAAATTCTATGTATAATGGAAGCATATTGTGTTAGGAATTAGTATTTCTGTGCTAAAACCTTACTTTCCATGCAGAAAAAATGTTTTATATGCAAAACAACCACATGTGCATTTTGCACAGAATAGATCCTGAATATTATTTATTCATTTATTTATTTTGAACATTTTTACCCCACCCTTCTCAACCCCTGGGGGACTCAGGGCGGCTTACAATTGGCAACAATTCAATGCCGCTTCATAAAATACAAATATCAAATATAACAATTAAAAACATGAACATTAAAATACAAATTAAACAGTATACTTACAATCCATTTAGCTATTGCCAGTCTGGTGGCTATTTATCTAACCATATACTAATGATTACTCCGCTTCACTTTTCCAATTCCACTGCCAAGCCAGTCAAATATTATCCACTGTCCTTTAACCTGATTGCCTGAAGGTCGGGTCCCACAACCATGATTTTACCTTCTTTCTGAAGATGAGGAGGGATGACGATGATCTAATTTCCCCAGGAAGCGAATTCCACAGGTGGCTACCACTAAGAAGGCCCTGACCCTCATCCTCGCCAAAGGTGTTTGAGACAAAGGTGGGGCCGAGAGCAGGGCCTCCCCAGAGGATCTTAAGCTCCGAGGTGGGATGTCGAAGGAGATATGTTCGGACAGGTACACTGGACCGGAGCCATATAGGGTTTTATAGGTCAAAACCAGCACTTTGAATTATGCTCGGAATTGGATCGGCAGCCAGTGGAGCTGACACAACAGGGGGATGGTTTGCTCCCTGTATGATGCTGCAGTGAGTAGTATAGCTGCCGCCTGTTGGACTAATTGCAGTTTCCGAACAGTCTTCAAAGGCAACACCAACATAGAGTGCATTGCAGTAATCTAATCGGGATGTGACAAGAGCATGGACCACCGTGGCCAGATCTGACTTCCCAAGGTACGGGCACAGCTGGCACACAAGTTTTAACTGTGAAAAAGCTCTCCCAGCCATCGCCGAGACCTGGGGTTCCAGGCTCAGCAATGAGTTCAGAATCACTCCCAAGCTCTGAGCCTGCGTCTTCAGGGGGAGTGTAACCCCATCCAACACAAACTGTAACCTTATGCCCTGTTTGGCCTAACGACTGACCAGTAGGACCTCTGTCTTGTCTGGATTCAATTTCAATTTGTTAGCTCTCATCCAGCCCGACACAGCAGCCAAGCACCGGTTCAAGGTTTGAACAGTCTCCTTGGTGACAGGTGGAAAGGAGTGACAGATTTGGATGTCATCCGCATAGAGATAACACCTTATTCCAAAACTCCAGATGATCTCTCCCAGCAGCTTCATGTATATGTTAAACAACATAAGGGACAGTATTGAACCCTGTGGGACTCCACACAACAATGGTTGTGGGGTCGAACAGGTGTCACCTAATAACACCTTCTGGGACCATCTCTCAAGAAAGGACTGGAGCCACTGCAGAACAGTACCCCCGAGTCCCATATCCTTGAAGTGTTCCAGAATGATACCATGGTCACCGGTATCAAAGGCCGCTGAGATGTCCAGCAGAACTAACAGGGACACAGTCCCCCTGTCAAGTTCCCGGTGAAGATCATCTACCAAGGCTGTCTCGGTTCCATGTGCCAGCCTAAAGCCAGACTGTGATGGATCTAGATAATCAGTGTCTACCAGAACCCCCTGGAGTTGTGAAGCCACCACACATTCCACAACTTTGCCCAAATAGGGGAGATTGGAAACTGGTCGGAAGTTTATTATGGAATATTATGGAATATACTGGAATATTAACAGCAGGAAATAGTACAGAAGACAACAATGAAGCTTTAAGCACTCCTGCTTGGTTTGTGTGGGGTCAAACTCTAGCACCACACATACCAAAGTAAAGTCTCCCCGGCTACCCAAAGTTCAATCTTTGTCTGCAAAAACTGGACAAGTCCCCTTAAACCTCCTAACTAAAATGCACAGCCAAATAAATTGCAGAACATACTTTCCTAGTTAGCTTACTAGCCAATAGACTGGTTGCTGGTTATTTTACTTCAAGGTTTTCTTTTCATTTTCATGTTCTAGCATAAAGTTTGTAATTGCATATTGCTTCCTGTAACCAGGTCTCCTTGTGTGGCAGGGAGATGCTGCTCGTATACAAAATTAATGAAGTTGTGTGTGTGTGTGTGTGTGTGTGTGTGTGTAGTGAGGTGGCTGGTTCATTTTTTAGTTTGCTCATAGTAACACTGTTGGTCTCTTTTTAGGCTTAGTATTCAAAAAGTCCCTGGATGCATTTCAATTAATTAATAATTGCTCTTTTTCAAATGATTCTTCAATTAATGACACCATTTTAAATGAGTTTTGTTCAATACCACCACACTTCTTTTAATGAAGGAATTTTCATAGATAAGGCTGGGGATATGGGGCATCACTAGGGATACAAGGTGTTAAGTCCACTTTCTGACTGTTACTCATTCAATTTGAATAAGTTTAATTTGTACACTTGTGTGTCCTTTCAAGTCACCCACCAACTTATAGCAACCTCATGAATTTCATGGGGTTTATAAGTCAAAGAATAATAAGAGGTTGTTTTGCTACATCTTAGAAGTAAAACAACTTAAGTCCTGCTATAGGTGATTGTTAAAGCTAGAATTCTGACACTTCTCACAAGATTCAATTTGTTTGTAAATGCTACAAATTTTTAATTCTTCAATAATTTTCTACTTGAAAGAAGCAATGAGTAATTTTATTTTCTAAATGGTTTGGCATCTATTCTGTTCAAAATTTATACATGGTTTGTGATGTTGTAGCTATTTTTGCATATAACAGAATTTTATGTGCAGGAAACAACATTTCCTATGCAGACAATAATATTTCTGTTATTGTTGTTGTGTGCCTTCAAATCAATTGTGACTTATGGAGGCCCAATGGCAAAATTTTCCTAGCAACATTTCTGCAGAAGTAGTTTGCCTCTGCTCCTTACTTTGCAATTTAGGCAACTGAAGGATGTGGACAGGATTTTTGGAGACTTAAGAGCTGCCACATTTGTTTGAGATCCTTGGCCTCTCTGTCTTATTAAAGAAAGCATGAGGAGGCTAGCTGGGTGGGTAGATGGAGGAATTAATGCCTCTCTAAAACAAGACAGAATTTCAACTTTTCTGAAGTAAGAAGTTATAGAATCATTGTGAAAACGGCGTCCGTGGATAAATAAGATCCCAGATACCAGAAATCATAGCAAAAAGTACCACCTTCACTAAACAGCCATTTAACAAAGAACTCTGTGTTGTTTGAGTGAATGTTAATACACCAGGAGGTCAAGAAAGAGGCATTTTTTGCAATGATATGTGATTATATTTAGATGCAAGTTACCAAGAGCATGTACCTGCCTACAATATAAAGTAGAAACAAACTTCTGTTTTGTTTTTGGTTTTTTAAATAACTTCATTGTGATTAGCTGAATAAACTCAGAAAGAACAAGTAAAATGAAAGGAACTAGAGCTTGCCCACCACTAATTCTGTTATTTAAAACACTTGAATTCTGTCTTTTCACAGTTGTTTTAGATATCTCATGACATCACTTAAACAAATATTTATAAAGTAAAAGAAAATTATTTCAGATGCATTATTAGCATTCATGACCTGTGACCATTTAGTCTAACTCTATGCTTATACAACTGCATGTATATAATGGTATTTATATTTATGCCAAATTAGAAACACTTTTCACATTTTCCAATCAGGTACACACAAAAATGTACACTGATTGGGTTTGGGATGGCCAGCACCACCCTGGTCCTTTCTTCCTGACCTTTAATTGATCCCCTGAAAATTCCTTTAGATTTTATATTGTGGAATGTTTTTGTTTTAAACTCCAACTATGTAGAAATAGGAATGATGGAATGAAACCACAATGGGAAAATATAGTTCACAAAGAGTTAGTTTCAGGATTTGTGTGACCTTCTAGACTTCTCCTGGAAGAAATGTTATTTTCATACAAGAAGGAGTAGCACATAATCCATATTTTAGTTTTCTAATTTTATGAGACAGAGAATACACATATACTCATTGTTTGTCCCTTATTGTTAATTTATAACATTCAAATCAGCAATAAATTACAGCATACATATCATGCTATTCCACTGTTTGCTTACTAATTGCACTTGATTGCAAAATGGAAAAGAGGAGGAGATTAGATTATCCACAGTCACTGGAACATAAATCCTTTATTCAGTTATCAAATGGATTTGAAGAGCAAAAACCTCACACTTCAGTTTTTTTCATTGCCAAACTTTAATAAACAGAATCACCAGCCGCATCCCAGAAGGTTTCACAGAAAGCTTTATTCTTGCTACAATTGAGGTGACTCATGAAATTAACAGTCCTACATACGCCAGTAAAACCAATTTTATTTTGGTCTTTTGATATGAGAGTTCAACCATGCTCTGACTTAACACAGCCAACACTGACATCTATGTAAGATCCAAAAGGCAATTTCTGTGGCTCATTCATACAAATAGCAGATCTTTAGGGGAAAAGGTTCCATATAGTTTTGAATTCTGTTTCATCCATGCTATTAAGACACATTTTGCCAAAACAGCTTAAACAGCTTGATTTGTTGTTCTGTTTTTGCTCATATTGATCCATCATCCCATGGGTATAAATTTGATATTATATAGCAAATCTATGTAAAAATCTTCCATTCCAAAATGAAAATAAAATGTGGAAAGCTGATTTTCTTCCTTGCTATCCATTTGTCTTCTTCATAGTTTTTGAACAGGGTAAAAAATAGCTAGGTGAAAGTAAAGTATGCTCCCCATATTTGCAAGGAATATATAAAGCCAACTGGCTAATCAATAAAAATGGTTGCTGTTGTTGCAAGGAATGTGTTCAATTACCCTCTATGGATCCCTGAAACCTCAGATAACAGCAAACCTTTTATTTTGACTACACTTGAATGGGAAACATATAATAGAGTCACTCTGGGTGACCTAGAGGAGCCCACAAACACTTCCAGGGGTATGGGTAAATGACATTGTGTATATAGGGCATGGATAAGTCCATGCTGTATTTGTTTCCCGATTCGTGCTCAAACCACCATCTCTCTGTGTCTGCTATTCAGCCTTTAATAAACATCAGTAGATTGTTACACCCTTCTCTTGTTGAAAGGCAAATTTGTCCCATAGTACAAATAACTTGAAGAAATAAGATTTTAAAGTAATAAATAAAACCACACAATTGAATCAGTATAATGATGAGATCTGAAAACACACATAAGCATTATAACATTTTTGTCTCTTACTGTATTTCTGTGTCATAATGGAATTGCCTTGCAATTGTTGAATGTTGCCTGTTACATGATGCAATGCAGTAAAAGCTGCTGTTGCCCTGCCTTCCACAAACTTCCCACATGCAGGAGAAGCACACAAGCTTTGAAAGAGACAAGAATTGACATGCTTGAACAAGAAGGTAAGGTGAATTTGTGAGAATTTTCCTTTGGATCTCTTTCATTGTAGTGAAGCAGCAATGGTCCAAAAGCATCAGTCTTTCATCTACACTTAGATCTCCCCACTTAAAATACAACATCACTACAACCAGAAACGATGTATAATTTTAGTAGGAGAAGATAGTCTAACAACAGAGAAACAATCATGTTGCACTAGTCAACTTAGATAATTTCTGATGAAAAGAAAAGGATAGAGACATTTTATAATTATAGGAGGACACTACGGTTCTCTCCTGTCTAATACTGTCTGTGTAAATGGCAGAACATGTAAACCATTTGAAGATAAGGCTTTGAGAGAGAGAGTTGGGGGGGGGGGGGGATAAACCAGGAATGTACATTTTCTTTTAATAAAACTATGGTTTTAAAAAGTGACTTAGTGTACTATGGTGATTCCAGAGTTAAAATATCTAGTGCTATGAAAACCATTTGTTAGGTTGCTTCACTTTTTATAAAGAGTTGATCTTGGATACTGACAGTTTGCTGTGTCTGCATCACACAGCCTGTAGAGCAAGGCCTGAACTTCATCCTTTTATGTTCATACGTTGGCTCCCACCACAGATTGATTTTCTTCTTGTTGCTGTTTAGTCATTGAGCAGTGTCTAATGATTGGAAAAGGCATCAAATCTTCATTTTTTGTCTCCCCATTTTCAAGTTTGTGATCAACAGAGGGTTGAGTGTATCTATTGATCCTTATGCTCAACAAAGTTTTCTTTCTTGTTTGTGTGACTGAAAAATCCACCCAAAAGTCAATAAAATCCACTGCAGACAAAGTCATGGTTGCTTTATAACCACAACACAGGCTCCGGCTCTTCCAATATTTAGAGAGGCCATCTGAAAGAAAAAAACACATGTATTTGAAGGCTTATATTCAGGTGTGAATTCTGTGACAGTACATCTGAGGAGTCAAAGTGGATATGATTATACAATAGATTACACAAACAATAAATATATGGACACATTTCTTGTTCATTATAGATGGAAATGTGATGTTAGTTGCGGTCATGGGCCGATACTTAAGTATTATTTAGTCTAGTTCAGCGATGGAGAAACTTTGGATATTGAGTTGTTTTAGACTTCAGATTTTAGAAACCCCAAATAGCTGGGATAATAATAAAAAGTTATGGGTATCGTAGAACAAAAAACATTTCATTTCAAGGTGGTACCTTATGTTTATCCATGTTTAAATTCATTTTGGCCCATCTCCCCAATCAGTCAAAGTCGTTTTGAATTCTGACCCTCTCCTCATTAAGGTAAAGGATTTCCCCTGACATTAAGTCCAGTCGTGTCCGATTCTGGGGGTTGGTGCTCATCTCCATTTCTGAGCCAAAGAGCTGGCATTGTCTGTAGACACCTCCAAGGTCATGTGGCCGGCATGACTGCGTGGAGCGCCGTTATCTTCCCTCCGGAGCGCTACCTATTGACCTACTCACATTTGCATGTTTTTACACTGCTAGGTTGGCAGAAGTTGGGGCTGACAGCGGGAGCTCATTCCACTCACCGAATTCAAATCAGTGACCTTTTGGTCAACAAGTTCAGCAGCTTAGTGCTTTAACCTACTGCRCCACTGGGGGCTCCTCATTACCCCCCCCCCCMAAAAAAAACCCTCACAAAGTGGTGTCACCTGAGCATTACTAAGTTTACCTACTATTTCATTCTCCAAATAATGTAATATTATACAACACCAGGCTAAGAATAGAATCTTGAGGTCACTTCTCTCTTGGATAAAAAAAAAACCCAGTGATTAATAATTCTCTAGTTTTCAGTATTTACTGTTCATTGGTATTCCCGTTTAGTGATATTTTTGGGTTTTTTTCATTTCTTGTACATGTTTATTGAAAATCTCAGATCATATGAAAGCTCCTTGCTTGTTCAAACTGGTTTCTTTAGCTACCTCCCATGTTTCTTTTTAATTGGAATTGTTTACAATAGGACCTTCAATATCTCGCCTTTTGGAAAGACCTATGTATTATGGGGCCCGCTTCCCTTTTAAATTATCTAACCATGGGATCTCACTTGATATTTCTATAAGCCTAATGAAATCATCTTTCATGAAGTCCCATTTCCTCTGTATATTTTATTTATTTATTTATTTATTTATCTATCTATCTATCTATCTATCAATTTTATATACTACCACTCCCCGAAGACTCAGAGCAGTTTACAATATACACATGTGATACATTACAAATAAGATAAAGAAAAATGTTGATAAACAAAATTCAAATGCTACTCTGAATAAATAAATTTTACAAGCTCTACGAAAAGCAAGTAAATCTCGGAGAGCTCATGTTCACACTGGCAAAGCATTCCATATATAAGGAGCCACCACCGTGAAAGCTCTACACCTAGAAGACATCAGGCGAATGGTCCTAAAATTGGGAACTTCAATGATATTTTGATTGTCTGAACAAAGTGATCTCGGGGATTGTTAGGGGGTGAGGCGGTCCCTCAAGTACTCCGGGCCCAGGCTATACAAGGCCTTAAAGGGAAGAATCAGCACTTTGAAGGTAATCCGGTGCTCAATCGGCAACCAGTGCAGTTGCTGCAAGATTGGAGTGATGTGGCACCTTGCTGGAACCCCTGCGAGAAGCTGGGCAGCAAGGGCAGAGTGCTAGGGAATTTGTGGGATTAGGTTTTAAATGTAATTTAAATGTAATTTTAATTGTACTTTTATTATATTCTAACTGTATTTTAACATATACTGGTGTCTTTAATCCAAGACACCAGCATTTATTTTTTAATTTTGTACTTCCCTTGTTATTAATTATATAGGAATATGCCATGTTATTGTTATTGTTTCCTATGAGGAAGCAGATAAAAATAAAGCAAACAATGTGGATCCCATTAACCTTTAATCTCTCCCCCCCCCCCCACCCCAGTGGTATCATTTTGTTTCTCATCCTCTAAGTCACTGATTTCTTCACAGGGCACATACGTCCTTGGCACACATGTTACTCCTCCTTTCTTATGTCATCTATTTCATTGGAATAAATTGTATACTTCCATTATTATGTTCCAATCATGATATTCATTCTAGCAATGTCTTTTAAATCATTTTTGACTTCCTATGTTAAAAGTTCAAGCTCACATTGTTTATTTCCCATACCCTATACCTTAGCAGAGAGACATTAAGATCACGAATCATAATCTCCAGCAGATCCCATGTTGTTGTTCTCCCCCCCCCCCGCCCCGTGGTTTTCCCCCTTATCTTTGGAATGGCATACCCCTTCCTCCATGTAACTTAGTTTGAAGCCCTTCTAATTAGGTTTGTGAGATTTCTAGAAAGTCCTTACTATAAAGATGTACGAAAAGAATCAAACTGTACAACTGAACTAATATTGAATAAACACGATGGCCAGAATCCAAATAGTTTCTTTGTTTAAAAATGGTTCACATTGATTCTGTGAGAATCAAAACCTTTCTATCTTTTCCCCACTCTGGACTCAAAAAATCTTAATACAGGGATTTGGGAATGTATCTGGAGCAGGTTTTTAGGTTAAGAAGACTGTAGTGGGAAATGGATTATGATGAATGCTAATCATCCAACTCATTTTACTAATTGGATCTTGGCTTTTAAATGTAGGAAGAGAATGAAATAAATAGCATTTCATATTTATTAAAAGTAATAGATATTTGCTTATATATTTCTGCAAAAACATATAAATGTACGGAAAATGCATCTGGATCATGTTTTCCTGCACAAGGCTAGGTAAGAACTATGCTCTAATATAACTATGAAAAGCACTTAAAAAAAAAAAAAAGCGATGCATTTTCAAGCTGAGGTATTGGCAATTTGAAAACAATGACAACACAAAGACTTCAGCAAGAGATGAGACAATCACAGATAGTTTTACACGGATAACAAGCAACATCCATCATTTTAGTGCACCCTTTTTGTTACCTAGGAAACAATATTGACTGTCTTTAGATGAAGTCTTAGAACAGTTGTAGGCTATAAAACAGTTATAATTGCATAGCTGTGGGTCCCTGGTTACTCATGAACCAATCCTTTGTAAAAAGTTATAGAAAGAATGAAACCATAGATACCTGTGTCCATTCATTAGTTTGAGGATCATATGACTCCATGGTGTTGAGGTATGTCTGGCCATCATATCCACCTACTGCATACAATTTATCACCAAGGATACAAACACCCACAGCATCACGTGGCATGCTCAGTGGTGCTACCATGGTCCAAGTATCAGTTTTGGGATCATACCTATACAACCAAAAGGAAGAAAACTCTTATGAAAACTCTATATTGTAAACAAGTTATCTTCAACGTTAAAGGAAATTAGGCTTCATTCATTTCATAGTTGTCTCATTGATAACCCTTGATATATTGTTATCAGGCTAATCTTCAACATGATCAGAAATTATACTCAGTCCATTCAAAAGATATGTTGTGAACAACTTTCCTAATGTAACTTAATAACAGGTGGCAAAAGCACACCCCATTGGCCAATACACTGGGGAATAAAGTAGATAATATATTCATTACCTCCCTGACTTTAATAAAATTGCTCCATGCAAGAATTATATCTATTTGTCTGATCATGTAGTTTTATTCACCTACATAGCTTGCATAGCCTGTTTTTTGTAATCAGTTATTGGATCGTAAAATGACTTAATTTGCTGAGGCAAGTACCTTTAAAGAAATTTCATTATGTAGGAAATGTGTATAGGAAATACACATTCACTTATTATCTAGTTTGGACTTCTAGATGTTTTAAGTATTTCCATTAAAGTAATTCACTGACATTCTTTTAATACTGGGATATCACTACTTTTTATAGGATATATCTCATGCTGCATCCACCTCTATTAGCTTACTAATGATATTTTTCCCTTGACACTTAACACAGAAAGCTTCCTTACATATCTACATAATCAATTATGCTGAGTGAAGCTGGCATCCAGCTGGTTCTCTCTTAATTTTCAAAGAGTTTTCTTGTATGTTAATGCCCACTTTTCCCCCATTGTGAGCTTCTTTTAAAATCTCGAAAGTTTAGAAGATATTCGAATGCCAAGTCCTGCTCCCATAATATATGGCTAGTTCACTTGAATAAAGAGCACAACAGTATGCGCTGTAGTGTAAATTAGTACTACAGGAGATGAAGACTTGCTACAGTTGGGATATGAGGATAGTATGTGATATATATATCTCAAAGAAATTCGGGAATGGGGTATTAAATAGGTCCCTTTCCCCAGGAAGCTCAGATCCATCTACGGATAAGAATTTTATTTCACTTTAATTTTATTAGAATTTTTAATATTTTTAAAATGTTAATGTGGGAAAAGTGGCATCAAAAACTTAGTTCCTTTATAGTACTAGCTAGATGTGCCCATCTTCTGAACACCATGTGAGATAATATTTTAAAATGTTTAAAACATGTTTGTGTTTGGAAACTCTGATGAGAAAACTTATGAGAAACTGCTGCTTTGGACATAGAAAAAATGTTATGTGTATGTGTTTATACAAAAACCAGTATTTTCTATGCATGAAGCAAAGTTTTCCGTACAGAAGAGTATTTCTGAAGTGGAAATGCTATTTATTTTCTGAAGAGGAACATTGTTTTCTTAATATGAAGTGTTTCTTGTGTAGAAGGTGTTTTCATTAAAAAATATAATTGTACAGTCCAAATAATGCTTATGTGCAGATTATTATTTTCTGCAAATAAGATGCTACCTCCCATGAAGAGAATACAATTAGACAACCCTGCTGTCATCTAAGAAAATAATTTTTTTTCACAAAATAAGTATTGAACTATAATCAGCTTTTGAATACTTTGATTTTTCTGTGTATTTCTGGAAGTGAGATGAAAATAGCTCAAATTATTTGTGCTTTCTTTGAGAAGAAAATTATCTCTCTATTTTTGTACATTATTTTATCTGCAGAAGATGCTGTCTCCTATTTACAAAATGGAGTTTTCTGCTAAAATCTGTACCAAATCAGTCCTATTTGTACCAAATAAGTCCTAAAGTATGAATATTCTTTAAAAAAACTACAGTTTTGAAAACTTTATCACAGCAGAAATTGCTACAGTATACTTGCTGCTTCCTTCAAGAATGTAATGAGAAAAGAATTACATCCCTAATCTAAAATCAGATAATAAACTGACTTAGCCTAGGACTCTGTTTCCAACTCTTCTGAAAATTCACAAAATAAACATTAATGCCCCTCCTTTTATCTAGCATCTCATATAGTGTATCATGTAACTATATGGAAATTTATTAAAAATATATTTAATCCCCTTTTTAAAACCATTTATATTAGTGGCCAGCCTTGGGTCAAACCTTAGAGCTTGATTACACGAGTCCTGTGCCCTGATTTGTGCCAGAAGTTGAACCTGGATTTCCAAATGCTTTCCAGTAACTTGGGCACTTAACATGGGGTAAACTGGGTTAACTCAGTTTATCCCTCTATTAAGCAAAGTTAGGGAATGTTCTGGAGTTTCAGCTAAACTCTGTAGCAGCCCTAAACTTCAGGGTGAGTGTTGAAAGCAAGTGTTTGCTCTTCACATTTGGCACATGAAAAAAAGAGATGGATTGCAACCATGTCAGATATATTCCCTGTTACAAAAATAGACAGACACAGAGTTGAGTAGGGTGCCCAGCCATCACTGATATCATGGCCAAGGAAAAGAAGGAAGAGCCCAGAAAAGTAATGGCCAGGAACTCTCAAATCTCTATGGCCATCCAGCAGCAGCAACTGGGGATGCATCTACCTTAATGTGACATAATTGCAGGATTTGTCATTTGGTGATGTAACATCTCTAATTGGCAGAGAGGTCTAAAGACCTTGTAAAACTGCAGCTCACATGATTCCATGAACCCTAAGACAACAATGGTACCATAAAGATTTACGTCTCAAAGATGCCTGAGTATTCTTATCATATATAAAACACTGATTGTCATAATTATAATTTTCTTTCAGAACATACTTTACAAAGATTTAATTTGGGCTTTATTGTGTTGTGTAATATTGCCTAAAACATTTTTCTCATTTCATTTTTAAGCATTTTGTATGGAATGTTAGACATGTTTAATCATAAATATTATAATACAACTGTCAATATTTTACAAATAGTAATCCAGATCTCAAATTGATATTAATGTGATCTTATTTTGCCAGAGATTTATAGCAATTACAAACACACACACACATAATAAGTGTTATGAAGGCTTTTAAGAAATGGAAAGCCTCTTTCCTCTTGCCTTCAGCCCAGCAGTTCCAAACTGATTTCTTATTGTATTCAGGAATTTTATAGTATCTCTTGTTTCACCCTGGGGCACATGAAGTTATTACAAAGATGAAGCATACTGCCATTTTCTCAGCAGAAGAAATAACACTATAAAATGAAGGCAACATTTCAACTTTGTACTCACTTCTTTTCTATTCTGTTTTGGGAAGTTATAAGTATTTACCAATCCCCTCAATATTTTGTTTATTAAAACTGATTTTTTTTATTTTAAAAGTCATTTTATTTAGATACTACGTTTTATTTTCTGTTCAGGCATTCACTTTGGCTCTATCAGCTGCAAAAGAAAGTCTTTATCCTATTAAAGTGTATAGCTTTAGGGCATGTGAAGATAAAACATGCACTTGATAATGCTAATTGTACAATACCCATTAGCCACCAACTTAACAATGATTTTGAAGCCAATGTTCCTCTTTACCCTTTAGCTGAGGGTCACATAAAAGATAACTGTTGGTGATATATTTTAAATAACATAAAAGAAGTGATTTAACTCAGTGCTTGCTTCTTGATGGATGAGCTAACAGCAACAAGAAAAAAGTTATTAGCAGTTATTCTGGATAGTGAGACATAGCATAAAGTTCCAACCAGAAATATGTCTTCTCTCCTACCCCAGCCCAGAGATGTAATTCCTTACTAAGTTTCTTCTCAAAAATAATGATGAAAAAATTCTGCCATTTTCTTCCTGCTATCACAAAGTCTTTAAACCATATCCTTTTTTAATATTATTGAAAACCCAGAGGAGATTCAGTGCAAAATTTGCATGTTGAAGTTTGCACAGAAAACAGCATTTCTTCCACAGAAAACAGCATTTAAAATAATATCTGCATACAGAAATATTAATTTTTGTGCAAAATTTGCTATTTTCTATGCATGGGACAATATCATGCAAAATCAACCCTCAATTATAGCATTTCTGCTATCCTATATAGGATATGATATTATTTCACTGAAATTTTTTTTACCATACAGAGAATGTTGTTTTATGCAACAATAACTACATGCAGAATTTGTGTAAAATAAGTCTCAAATGGAAAATTCTCATCTTTCAAGATTGTTTCCATCAGGGTTTCTTTACATGCAAAAATATTTTTTGCCATTTTCTGAATATTTTTAAATATCCTTTCCATCCCTATGCCTACTCCATGGCCATGTACTGACAATTGGAGAGTGGATGCCATAGAGAAGCATTCAAACACATAATGGAGGATGCATTGCTCACTAAGCATTCAGTTATAGGAAAACTGATGGATGCTGAGACAGCATATGACAAGTGTGTTTTGAAGGGCTTGGGAGTTGTGTGTGTTGGGGGGGGGGGTAATGAATTCTGCAAAAACGAGAAAGCTACACTCAGTGTTATGATGACATATGTCACTAGTAAAGTTCCACCCAATGTAGGAAGTTGAATTATTAAAAATGTGTCAGGGGTAATATGAGTAAGAAAAATAATAGAACCTACAACTCTTGTTCTTAGGTTCCAGAAATAAATCCAAATACAATTATAACTCTCAACAAAAAAGAAGGAAAGTGTAATTTATGAAAATAAACATAAATAAGGTAATATAGCTTCTTTCAGAAATATCATATGCCAATACATAAAGGATGGATACCTTTCAACATAATCCAGGAGTCTGGAGCAATGGTTAGAAGCAGGGGCATCATGGCCTCCAACTGCATAGAGGAAACCATCACAGGTAGCCACTCCAACACCTCCTCTTCTCTTACACATTGGAGCACACATGTTCCATTTGTTAGTGTGGGGATCATAATATTCCATTGAGCTCAAACAAGAACTGCCATCTCGACCTCCAACTGAGTATAACCTAAAATAAATCATATACATTTTTAAGCATAAGAGGAAATAATAAAAATTATTCAATGGAGTCTCAGGTGCAAGTAGTATTTAAAAAATAAAATCTATAACCAGATGGGAATTCTCTCAAGTGAATCTTCTTTCATACCTCTCCTTCATTTTCCTTCTTCTCCTCACAAACAGAAATAACTCCACAACTTTTGAAAGCAACAATCAACCACTCACAATAGTAGTTTTGTGTATTTGAAGGGCTGCCTAATTTTTCCCAAGTTTACTAATTTATAAAAGAAAATTGTTTAAAAAACAATTAAAATACTCAGATAATTTTTAGAGATTTCAAGGAGTTATATAGTAGGGGTGTGCATTTTGGGGAAAATCCTTCCAGAATTTTGTGCCGTTCTCTAAAACTGCCTCACCCATTGAGGCAATGAGGAGGCTTCATGGGCTGCAACCCCTCTCACACACAGACAGGAAGCCACTGGAAAATTGTGACTGGTTCAGACAGAAGGGCTTGTCTGTGCAACACACAATTGCCAAATGAAAGTGAAACCAGTCAGTTTTGGCAGCCGCTTAATTTGTTACTGATGAAAAAAAAGGTCATGGTTGAAATGGCCAAAAAAAGATGAATCAAATGGATCCATGCAAAGCCCTACTATATATTAGAAGAGCCACTAAAAATTAAGAAATATCAGTTAAGCGGGGAGGGAGAAAAGAAGAGGGATAACTTGATGCAGATATTTATTCATTACAGACCACATAACATATAACTTATATTTAATTACCCCAATAACCATTATTTAAAGTGAGGATGAGGATCAATTCCATGAGACTAGAATATTCTCCTCCTCTTGCTCTATATGAAGGCTTCAGAAGAAAGGAAAGGGCAAAACTGGAGTCTCCACCTTTTCTTGATGTAAAATGTGTATCTTCAAACTTGAAAATAGAATCATAGAATCAAAGAGTTGGAAGAGACCTCATGGGCCATCCAGTCCAACCCCCTGCCAAGAAGAAGGAATATTGCATTCAAAGCACCCCTGACAGATGGCTATCTAGCCTCTGTTTAAAAACCTCCAAAGAAGGAGCCTCCACCACACTCCGGGGCAGAGAGTTCCACTGCTGAGTTCTCACAGTCAGGAAGTTCTTCCTCACGTTCAGATGGAATCTCCTTTCTTGTAGTTTGAAGCCATTGTTCCGTGTCCTAGTCTCCAGGGAAGCAGAAAACAAGCTTGCTCCCTCCTCCCTGTAACTTCCTCTCACATATTTATACATGACTATCATATCTCTTCTCAGCCTTCTCTTCTTCAGGCTAAACATGCCCAGCTCCTTAAGCTGCTCCTCATAGGGCTTGTTCTCCAGACTTTGGATCATCTTAGTAGCCCTCCTCTGGACACATTCCAGCTTGTCAACATCTCTCTTCAATTGTGGTGCCCAGAATTGAATACAATATTCCAGGTGTGGTCTAACCAAGGCGGAATAGAGGGGTAGCATGACTTCCTTAGATCTAGACACTATGCTCCTATTGATGCAGGTCAAAATCCCATTGGCTTTTTTTGCCGCCACATCACATTGTTGGCTCATGTTTAACTTGTTTTCCACGAGGACTCCAAGATCTTTTTCACACATACTGCTCTCGAGCCAGGCGTCCCCCATTACTAATAGTACAGCACAAAACTAATAGTATAGCACAAAAAGGGGAAGATGGGTAAAATTCCCACAATATAATTTAAGTTGGTGGAAATATAAGTAGGATTTGTCACATTATTTTGCTCTCTTGCTCATTACATTTGGAACCAAGAACCAAATTCTTGGGATCTATTCTTCCTACATTCCAATAATGTTTCAGAAAATATCATTTTATTTCTTTTGTGATACTGACTGTGGTAATTCACTTTTTCCTCTTTTTATATTTAATATGTTGTATTGCATTTTAATTGTATTGAACTTTTTGAATACACAGGAACTGCATGATAAATATTTTAGGTAGTAATTTTGCACTTTTATATTACCTTTATTTAGTTTTCAAGCAAGTAGTCTAGGATCTACGCATCAATAAGCTATTATATCTATTACATATTTCCCACTTCCCTCTTCCTCAATCTTCCCACATCTTCTATTTTTCTAGAGAAAATAATTACTGTTATGCTACAATGCATGTTGTGAGCATGTTAAGAAATCAGCAATCCATAAAAAGTTTTAGGAGTTAGTGGATAGCAGGCAGACTGGTCGAGGTTGGGATCCAAAACAGTGGGAGAAGCCAACCCTGGTGAGCTGTAACCAAAAAAAGTTGTGGCCTTCCATTAACCAAACATGGAGTTGGCAGGTGTGAAGCAGAATCGACATCCCACATATAAGGGAAACATTGTGCTCTATACAGAGAAATACTCACTTCCTTTGTTAAGAAATCATCCTTAGGATCTCAAGAGGGTACCATAGGGTCTTGCAGGCAATGTTAATCCTGATCCAGGGTCAGAAATCTTTTCCTCAGAGAAAGAATCTAAAGATGTATTCCACACAACTAGCCATTACTCCTGAAGTTCGATATATACTGTACTCATTTCAGGATGCTAAACTAGCCCATCAGGAACAGAATATTTGGAACCAGCCTCAGATAACAACCTCATTTGCCATAGTGAAAAAGAAGGTTATAAACATTGTTAGAAGATGTCTTCAGCAGAGACATTTGATAGTATAGTATATAACTTAAGAGTCAAAAAACCCCAAATTTTACAGAACAACTCCACTTCCTCCTGATTCCTTGTGTTATTTTTTTTCTTCATTGATTTCACCTGGATATGATCTTTGCCACAATCTCTATTCTACCATTTGTTTATTGTAACAACTGGGCTGTTTTTCCATGTTTGGCAGTGTATTGTATTTGGATTTACTCATCCAGTCATGTCATCCTCCAACCTTCAAGCTGTAGAAGGATAGTTAATGGGGGCATTTTAAAACATTAAGAACGAAAGGGAAACCTTGACACTTAATTATAAATAATAGTAAGATAAGCCCACACCCTTTGAAAAAATCTGCCTTTTCTCATTACCGAGCCAAATTCTTTATGCCTCTCTCATCATGATATAGGCCCAAAAGAGCTAAGCGGGAGGGTGTGTGTGTGTGTGTGTCTGGGTCTTGTTGAAAGTGACAGACGTAATTATTCCATAGCAACAGAAGGTTATGTAACAACAATACCCTTCTTATTCACTTGACCAAGAATGGAAAATTAGGCTGGTGGAGTTTGTTATTCATAACTGAATGTGTCTTTGAATTATTATTGTGACTTTCAATATCCTGCTGATAGGCTGACATCACACCCCTCCCAAAAATATCATTCATGGATCAGAAAAAAATAAAATATTTGCAGTGCTATTTGATAAGTGATAAGTGGCTCACAAATCATCACACATAATAGTGACAGCCATTGGCTTGAAGGCATCTAATGAATTTGTGGTAGGGAGTATCAAGGAACTCCTGGTTCACCAATAACTCTCTTGGGCCTCAATTCCATACACATCCTCTGCCAGTTGCTTACATTGAACTTACTTTTAAGGACACATGTATGGGACTGCACTGTAAACTACTTACTCTATCCCAGATCTCAATTTAATTGCTCACTGTAAGGAATTAGTATTCATTGTCAACATCTACTTTGTGATATACTTCATTACACAATACCAGAGGATTGCATGCCACTCAAAATACACATATAGATGGCACTTAAAACTACTTAGTGTTACAGCGGTGAAATTACTCAGTAACTAAAATTCCGAATCCATTTGAAAGCTTGCTCCTGGGCAAATAAACATAATTGGTTCCAACCTACGTCAGTGCACATGTGAAAATTATTCTGATTGCATTCTAACAATGTTGACACATGAAATGCATTTCTTATAAGAATTCTTTCACAGTTTGCTGCCTATTGTCCAATTCCCAGAGAATAATAAAACTTATAGAAATGTGGACTGCTTTAAAGTCCAAGCAATGAGCAATTAGGGATGCAAAGTCTCCTCTCAGTGAATGAGTGACACACTTGAAAGCTTTTATTGCCCTACGCACACTTCATGAATTCTGAGCTAGTTAAATGCACATGTAATGTTTCATTGTTAATGAAATTGTATGCTCCACCATTATGGTGCTGCTTCTAATGCCACCACAACAATATATTCTGGCAGTATGGGGTTCTGAGATATATTCCAATTGTGTTTCCACATATAGAAGGCAATTGATGTCAAGAAACCTGAAAGTGGTACTTTTTAGTATATTGGCTGATAAATTAATTTACAAGTTACAGAACATGTGAGCTAAAGTATTTATTGCAATGGTTTTAGAGATGGAAAACATTTTTTAAGGATATTTTATGTGACTTGATGTAAAACAGCAGGGAAATGTTTTTAAACTCTTGGTCTTAGAGGAAATCACATGTATTTCTGGCACATTTCTGGAAAATGTGTGCTATTGAAAACTGGTAATTGTAACCTTTTAGTGCAAGTAGTAGAACCGGAGAAAATGCTCATATAATTCTGATCAGTTTGTCCTGTTATGTTTCCTGTCTCTGTTCTAATGTGCTTAGCTTGAGAATATACCCTACTCAACCATCATTTCTACAATGTTGGGCACCGGGTGTGAATCCCTGCTCAGTCTAGTCACTAGGAAAAAAAACACATTAACATTTCCCTTCACACTGAACTGTTTCTTCACAAGACCAACAGCTCAGAATATGAAAAGTGGAGCATCTCAACATTTATTGTCACATATGTTAGAGGTCTTCTAAATATTCACACTTTAAAAGGAAGATGACTGACATATTGTGCTGCTCTTGAATTGCTACTTTGGAAAGTGCAAAGTGCAATTATATTTTAAATAATAAAATCCTAATCATCTTCATTTAAAAATCATTCCAATTATATTAACGGTGGCTTCTCCCAAAGCAAGTGAATTTATAATCAGCAGGGGAGTGCAATCTGGCAAAACTCCATGCCATTTTTGGAGTCTGGTTTTTTGGCTACCCCTGTT